GACATGGTTCGAATCCCAGTACGTGTCTTTTTAATGAATAAAAAAAAGTAATTGTGAAGACCAAAATGTCCTTCCTACTTTCACTCTCGTTGCAAGAAATTTGAAATGGGGCTCCCGTTTTTCCCTTCGGTGTATTATATTACTAGCTTTGTACTCGGCCCGTTGGCCGAATGAGTTTCGTTTATCATTTATATTTATTAATTATTGTAATAGTTAAACTATATTTTGGATTTTTTAGTTTTTATGTTGTCGGCCCGTTGGCCAAATGAGGTTCGTTTATCATTTATATTTATTAATTATTGAAATAGTTAAACTATATTTTGGATTTTTTAGTTTTTATGTTGTAATGATTTATTTGATAAATATTTTGAACTCTGGTGTGCGATCAAATGCATGGGTTGTTGTACAATGTGTGGATTTGTATTGTATAATTATGACCTTTATTATGCCATGTTTGTATAGGATGTAGTGGGAAGACAAATAGATGATTGTTATAAGATGAAGGAAGATGGTTTATTGTTTCAGGCAAGCTTAGTAGTAAAGGACATTAAATAGGATGTGTTTAATATTAGAAGTACTTTTTAATATAAGATGTCATGAAAAATTACTAAAAAGGATTTCTAATACAAAATATGAATATAAAAAATAAAAAATAAAAGGTAGTCAAAATGGATCTTGTTAAATTTCTTATATATTAATAATATTATATAGTAATTTATTTTATTTTTTAAAATGATATAAATTTAAAGAAAATTATATTTTCATAATAAAATTAAATATGGTAAGGATAATCTTGTATTTTCAAAACAACTTCTCGTAGAAGCTTCAAATCGGAGTTTCAGCTTTTATTTTATGCAAAAACACTTTTCAATTTTTCAAAAACCGAGTTTTCAGAAGTGTTTGACTCAACTTCAACTTTTGGATAAGAAAAGCACTTCTAAAAGTTGGGCCAAACATAGGCATTGGCCGCAACACTACATAAAGTGAAATGAAAAATTACTAATCAATGACAAATTTTGATACCATACATGATGTGATGTGACGTAGAACATGAGCGTCTACACACAAAGTCATTATTTAATTGATACATCTATCTATTGTTCTATATAAGATCAACTGCTAATGCAAATAAAAAATAGCTATAATTAAGAAGAAAATGATTACATAAAGTTTGATAAATTCAATCACTACTTGACCAAAATACAAAGATTAAAATCGTACAGATGAATGAAGAGCGTCTTATCATCCATAAGATTTGTGGAAAAGAAGCATATGGTTATCAAGTTATTAATAGAGGATCTCAAAGCACGTGAATTATTATAATAAATATATTTTTAGTAACCTATAGAATGGTATCAGTATTATGTCTAGAACAAAATGCTCGTAGCTAACCAATAAAAGTTATCATTTCAGTTAAACAACTTTAAAAAAGTTGGGTTTACTGCCAAGGAGGATCGATAAATTCTATAATTTTTGGATCGTGAATTACGAAGACCTAAATCACACTCTTTCTATGAGGTATGCGTTCCACACTACACTACACTCTGTTCATTTTTCCTTTTTCTCACCCATTAACCTGCTTTATTTCTACTCTGCAGCCTTGTCCGGTCCGAGGTTGTGACTTGTGACGCATTAGAGTTCGGATGACGAACAGACCACCTACTTGCTAAGAAACGCCACCTGCTACCATAACAAACCTAGTGTTAGTGATGAAACAACAAAATTACGATACTTTCGAATAGAGTTTATTTTATACAATTTAGACATACATACAGGTCATATCAATTAATAAAATATATTAACGATTTCTGAATGAGAAGTAACTTGCCTATGCAGAAGCTGCAGCAATTGCTGAACTATGGTATCTCATGACATGTAGATAAAAGAGCAAAATCATTGAAACAGAGGGTTTAAAGCATAATCAATAAGGCTAATCAAAGTATTTATTTTTAAGAAGGAAAACTTTTTCTTTTGTGTTTGCCTTAACTATCTGAGCGTGGAAATCTCTGAGAAACTCCGGGTTATGGCGGACCAGCCATTCTGCCACTATCTATCAAGATCCTGATGCAAAGACGTTCTATAATATTCCTGCACATTCAAATGTTTTCTGCCTGGCATAAACAACTGAAAAGTAACAAATAAGCAATTCAAGTGAGACTCAACTACTTTAAACACCATTCGATTTAACAGGCTGAACTTCCAGAAGTCCAGTTCTTTGGATGACTGTCGTGCACTATAAGAATATGGAAACATGGACTTTATAAGGCTGCAGTAAAAGGAATGAATGCTAAAACCAAACAACAACAGTGATATCAAACATGTAGGGGGTACAATATTTAAGAGAATGAAGATAAAAGAGTCGACATTAAGGATGTACATAAATCATAACAGAACTGGCTAAGATAGAGGCATGAAGATTATAGGAGAGCTAGCAACAAATGTAGGTATACATGAACAATCAAAAACAACAAATGCCATAACAGTCTAGCTCGACAAACACAGGACTTCACTGGAGTCCTAGTGCAACTTATATACATTGACATCATGTTGCGAAGGAAATGACCAATTAGATAGGAAAATGAGTAACGCAGTAGGAAAAACTAAAGGCTATTCAAATCTTTGCACTGCTAAATTGGAAGCAGAATACCTGTAAAAAAAGTACTCTATAGGAGTATTGGGAGCTACCCCAATTAACATTCTCTAGGGGTTGGCCGAGCAATCACGATAGGGTAGATAGAAGAATTCCTAAGTTTAAGTGGAAAGACATTAAGAGCATGTCCTTGAAGAGCTTCTGCCAATCTGCTTCATCATAGAGTGATAAAATTTACTCCAAAATGGTGAATACCAAGATGAATGAGAAAGTTGGAAACCTTTGAAAATATGACTGCAGAAGTATCAAAAGTTTCATTAGCGATAACTAACATTAGCAAAAAATTTACCACTACTTTCATCTCATGATACACAACGACACTAAGTGAACATGCATTAACTAATAACACCAGGTGCAATAACTCAACACAAATGTTAGCAGAACTCATAATAATCCATTTACCAATAAAAGAGAACAATATCTTCCAGTGAGCCTATCAAGAATCAACCCACCTTAACGAACAAAATGAATGGCATATTGATAGTGTGTTGTGATTACTTCGCCAACAATCATGAAGGAACAACAATAGAAATGGACATGAGAAAGGATAAACAACCGCAATACAAAATTTATGTAAAAAGCACATTATGAATTCCTCCAGGGTCCGACTCAAAATACTCTTTTCCAACCATCACTAATGAAGAATCCATGAATCAGTTGGTAAGAGGTAGGAGATGTTATCTGCAGGAGTCATAACTGATGCTGCACCATAATCATCAAATGGTCTTCTACTGGTCTTTATGGCACCGGGCTATGCTGTGAACCTGAAGACAAAATTTCATGAAAAAGTCAGACCAACCACACAGACAATGCATGCACACATAAAACAAACATGGGGCCAAAACACATTTTGTTCAGAAAAAGAAGAGGAACAAATTGTAATTGATAGAGAAGGTCAAGACCAACACGACCCAGCTTCCATCCATGGAACTTCTTCCATTTATACAACCATTCGCTCATTTAATTATACAACATTGCACCTGGTAAAGAAACAAAAATCACACCAAACTAAGATATGAAAATGTATTCGTAGTTACATGGTTATCATCTTCAAAGGGAAACCATTAACAAATCCATTGGCATTCCCATCTTTTTCGTAGAAAGATTCAACAACTCGACTCTTATTCAACCTGCTATCTGTATGATATTCTTCTCCCTAGTCATCATCTTGTGAAACCCAATAGTATATGAATCACCAGATGAGGAGGCAAGTCTACGATTGAAATACAAAAGCGTACAACGAAGGAAAATATGATTAGAGGTGCCAAGCCAATGAATATAAACTGCCGATATCTATTGGGTGATTTTCACCCGGGAGAAAAGGATAAGTAAAGTAGTCGAAACTCTTGAACAGTGAAAAAGTAAGTTGAACGAACACAATACAGAATCATAATAGAGCTCATGATCTAATTAGACTTATTTTATCGAGAGGGAGGCATTTAGCCAGAGATCACAAAAGAAAAGAGCAAGAATAAAAAACGTAGGTCTGCACACCAGCAGCAGCCTACTAACTAACTACGAACTAAGAAACAGTCACAGAAAACCTCAAGAAGCAGGCCATCAAAACATAATTACAGAAACCTCATGACTCTTATTAGAAAAAGCACATACTAAAACAAATGAGATTGCCAAAAATCCAAAGCATTAAACTTAACGAAAAAAATGGTATGGTTCCAATTGGGGAAATTTTTTTGGGAAGCTGACAATTTGAAAAAAACAACAAACTAACGCCAATCAAAACTACATGAATGCATAATGTTGATTTCAGAGTCTTGTAAAAAGCTATGAAATCAATCTCTACCTATAATCCAATCAATTGGAACGAACAAAGCAAACATGGTCCGAGCTCCATTGTCAATAAATGTTGTCTAGCTGCAGGAAAGTGAGACTTCTCACCTGCAGTGACTTGCGGCCTTGTCGTTCTTCTTCTTCTTGGTTCAATTTCAAAAGAGAGAGACATCTGAAAAGGAAAGAGCTAATAAATGGGAATCAGAAATGGCTATTAAATCTGAAAAATAAAAAATATATAAGATTGAACAAAACCCAAAGACCTCTTCCTCTTTCTTTTTTCTGTCGGTTAAGAGAGGGAGAGAAGAAGCACCAACCCCACGCCAGGTCCATTCCGAACCAAAATCCTCCGCCATTTCCCAACTGGAATCCGTCTTCGAGAAGTCCAGGAACGACATCTCCGATTCAGGGGAAGAAGAGGAAGAGGAATTGAACAGGCTAAAAAGCATCTGGAGATTAATAACGACTTACACAGGACAAATCAGCATAGTAAGCAACTTGAATATTGAGGAAAGGGGATAACAGAGGCAGCGTTAGCTTCGAATAGAACAAAGTGAATCCATCACCTGCAGAAGAAGTGGCCGAATTGAAATCTAACCCCAGGTGGTCATGAGTGAAAATTGAAGAATACATCGAAGACAACAAACCTATAACTGATTGGCAGAGCAGAGAGGTCCTCGCACCCAACAAACCAATCCAGAAATCCCTGCTGCAAACCGACACAAACCTATAACTGAAATTCTCGGATAAGAGAATACATTAATTCAAAAAAATTAGAGATCAAGAGGGACTGCAAAATGAGAGTGAATTGAAATTGAAAATATGCACATAGAGGGATCAAAGATCAGTGCCTATGGGTATCAACCCATTTTACAAATTCAACAAAATACAGCAATGATATGCTTACAAAGGACCTCCAAATCCAGTACATGAAACGCATGGGCTATGTATCACACCACGGTGGCATTATTTGGCTAATGCAAATACAATATTGATCAAAGAAGAAGATAAATTAGTGTCCAATTGTAGGAGGGACGGAATAGAGCTTACATGCTACTCTTTTAATCGGTATCCTGTCAACTATCCCAGGGTTTGGCTTTGCTAACTTAATGTAAAGCCAATTTGCAGCAAAACACTCCATAACGATGATGATGCACAGGGGTGATTCTACATAGATAGGGATCGTGAGGTTAAAAGTGAGATGATTTTCATAACAATAAATGAACAAAGATAGACAGAAGCATCAGTTTTGGGTTTGTTTGGGGAGATGACTGAAAGGGCGAGAGAACACAATGTCCACATAATTATATGATTCAATTCTAGAATAATTTGCATCATGTACATGAACCAATTCCTTGAGATAAATTGAGTTATAGGGTTGCGGTTGATTTCTAGACTCAATCTTCTTTTAAACACTTAGTGCTAGAATTGTGAGATTGTCAACAGAAACCCTATCCATCAAAGTAGGAGAGCTTAGCTGCGTATAGTGCAGCTTGCTATGAATTTTACTGCTGTGTGCAGTTTACAGAAGAAGAGCAAAAGCAACCAAGGCAGTTCCAAAAACAAAACAAAATCGACCAGGAAAACTCACACACAAAGGCAAGAAGGAAAGAAAATGATGGAGGTTTCAGAAGATGTGGAAAAACCGCCCCTAGGCGCAGACAAAGACGGAAAAAATTCCCAGACACAGCAAAAGGTGTAGTTACAGGAATGCCATCAATAGTAAATGAAATAGGTAAGATAAGACCCAAACTTTCAATTGATTATAATTGCAAGATGAAGGAAGGACGATAAGTAAAGATGAACCCACCAATTTCAAGGGCGCCCTCGAAGAGAACTGGGAATCGATGTGGGTGAAACCAGGGAATGGATGAACGGCGGTCGATTGAGGAGACCTAGTGGTGAAGGCAGTTATCGGTGAGGAATCGTTGGACAGACGTCGACGGAATGGAACCTGGAGGGCACGACGGTGGAAGTTTAGAGATCGTGCCATAGCTGTGAAACGATTCGGAGAGCAAGCTGCTAAGGCAGCGAATGCGAACAAAATTGGCAGACTCTCTGGACATACGTTGACGGAATGGAACCCGGGCCCAAGACGGTGGTTATGGCGGAACAACGATGGTGGACGGCGGGACCTTTTCCTTTGGTGAATGTTGTCAGAATGCAGGGAGGAGTTCAGCCGCTGGAAGAAATAACCACCCCGAGCAAGACGAGAAGAGAAGTACTCCCGCACAAAGCTGATACACAGAAGATTTTTCCCGTAATAAAATAAGGAGATCCAGCAGCGACATGTAGTTTCCATAATTGCCCCTAGCGAGAATGAAGGAGAAGCCAGGGATTTCAAAATGGAGAAAATCAGCCAAAGAACGGCTATATATTATAGGAGGATGTGTAGATGTATCTTCTTCTACTTGGCAGGCGGCAGCTATATATAAATAAAAATATATAAAACACCCTTGACCTTTATTGGAAGGAAGAGTAGTACATCTGCATGGAAACGAAAGGGGACAATTTCAATTAGATTCCTAAGTCAGCTACTAATTGACGTTCTTTGAATACTGTATGAATTTTTGGATCGCCCCGTCTAAAAAACATTGTTATAAGAACCGAATCCTATAACGGCCGGGCCAGTAGAATCGTCAAACCAGTTACAATATCGGTCTGGTTCATTGCTTGAACGGTTATTGATGAACCTAACGATTTTTCACGGTTCAACATAAAATCAGATGAACCGGCATGGTTTAACTGATCCCCAGGTTCACTATTTTAACAAAAAATGCTTTAACATAAAGGATTAATGACACAAATATTGTTTTTTTTAATTTACCACTAATATGACAAATTAAAAACTATTGACACAAATATTGTGTTTTTTAGTAAGGATTGGGGCGGGACCACCTGAGACTCAGGCGGGACTGATATTTTACCCAGTCCTGGGCGCTGGCGCCCCAGTCTCAAGCGGCCCCCCCTCAGACAAATTTTTTAATTAGTCCTAGGCGCTGGCGCCCGAGACTCAGGCGGGAGCGCCCCGGACCCTTTTTTTTTTAAAATTCGGACGGTCCCCCCTTCCCTCCCACCTTATCCCCTCCCACACCACACACCACACATCCTCCTCCTCCTTTCTTCTTCCTCCCCAACCCGCGAACCTTTCTTCTTCCTCCCCCCAACACCCCTGCGAACCAGAGACCCACCGCAACTGCTACCGCCCCAGACCTCGGCGCCGCCGCCCCAGACATCGGCGCCGCCGCCCCAGACCTCGGCGCCGCCGCCTTTGACCGTAGCGCCACCGCCTTTGACTGACCCGCCGCCGCCCGAGATGTCCTCCGACGAAGAACCACTCGCCGCCGGCAGAGGCAGAGGGAGAAGAGGTCGGCGAGGTCGTGGTGGAGGCGGCCGTTTGCGCGGTGAGACTCTCGTCGGCAGTTTGATTTTTTTTTAATGTTTTGTGTTTTTTTTAATGTTTTGTTTCTTTGTTTTTGCAGTTCCGAGGCTTATGGATCCTTATTCGATGAGATTACCGCCGGCGACAATTGATCCAAGTCTGGTCGATCCGACACTTCTTTGGGGACACGGCCTACATCGTATCGACTCTGTTTGGACAAACGAGGTAAGTATTTGATAATTATTCATGTAAAGTTAATTAGCTAATTAGATTATTTTAGGTAGTGAACTGAACTGTTAGGTGAAATTAGTATAATTTCAAATTAGTATAATTTTATGTTAGATAAGACAGATTAGAATTTATTAGGTGAAATTAGAATTATTACGAATGAAAATGAATTAATATAAGTTTTGTGCACTATAGGCTGGTGATCGACCGTACCATGTTCGAGGTACGACCATTTTAGTACCTTACCATGAGCTTTATCGGCCATATCTCGAAGCGGCAGGCTTGTTTAGTGTCGTGCCCCTAGTCCCTATGAACCCCGATGCTAGTTTAATTACTGCGCTCGTAGAGCGGTGGCGCCCCGAGACGTCGACCTTCCATCTACCGTGTGGTGAGATGACGATCACGTTAGAGGACGTTGTTACACTGTCCGGTCTGGCGATCGACGGTGATGCCGTCGTAGTTGATATACCGGATGAGGAGTGGTCGGCGATCTGTTTGAGACTGTTGGGACGAGTTCCGGCCGATCTTGTAGGCAGTGTCGCTGTTGTTAGGATTGTTTGGCTGAGGGTTGAATTCAGTCATCTGCCGGAGAATGCATCACAGGAGGTTATAGAGCAGTTTGCACGAGCTTATGCTCTATCTCTGCTTGGAGGTGTACTTTTCTCGGACCGGTCTGGAAGTACGGTGCACCTACAGTACCTACTTCTGATTGAGGATTGGGAGAGAGCTGGACGGTTTGCCTGGGGAGCTGCTGTTTTATCCTACCTGTACCGTGGATAGGTAGGTCGACTTTGCACATTACGCATACCGGCACTTCTCTTAGCGGTGACCTTGGTGGATGGGTCGCCCTACTGCAGTTTTGGGCGTGGGAGCGATTCCCACTTCTGGCACCTCGAGACGAGGAGACGAGGGCACAGGCCACCGAGGATGCATTCCCACGTGGTCTTCGATGGGAAACATGGCATCAGGTGGTGATACTAGAGCAGCGACGACTCCCGACCTGTGGGCCGAGGGTGATGAGGTGTTTAGGGAGACGATGTGGATCCATGAGCAGCATGTTCAGTCTCAGCGTAGTGGTGGCGGTCAGCCTGATGAGCATCTTCAGTCTCAGCAGGATGAGATGTTCGGTACACAGGATCAGGATGGTGGAGTTGAGGAAGATGAGCCCCAGGAGTATGATGGTAGACCAGTGCGCATCAGGGTGCCTGCTAGGTGTGGTACTGGCGAGAATCGAAGTGGGGGACCTCTCTACCGCCTGTGTCTATCTCCTGTCAAGTATGCTCCCCAGACATAGAGTACGTACAGGGTAGTACCTTTTAAATCACCGCGTGAACATTAAGTTACGAATGTAATTCCCGAGGGCCATCTAGCGGTGGAGCATGGTGGTCGTCGTGGTGGTCGTCGTGGTGGTCGTCGTGGTGATCGTCAGTGAGACTATTATTATTATGTACTTCCTTCAGACGTTTATTTTTGGATTGTTATTATTATGTACTTCCTTCAGACGTTTATTTTTGGATTGTTATTATTATGTACTTCATTTAGACTATTATTTTTGGATTGTTATTATTATGTACTATAAACAAACAACAACATCTCAAACAAACAACATCTCAAACAAACAACTTTTACATGGTAAATCAAAAGATAACAACAACATACCAAACAACAACATCTCAAACAAACAACAACTTTTACATGGTAAATCAAAAGAAATATAACAACTTCTACCACCTCTCAGCCACGTCTATTACCTCTACTTCCTCTTCTACCACCTCTCGTACTTCGTTGGCCACCACTCCCTCCTCGGTTGCTCCCACTCCTACTAGCTTGGCCACCGCAAGTTGATGCATTATGTCCCGCTTGGTTACAGTTGCTGCACACTTGGTGTGATGCACCCTCCCTTGGCCAGTCCATCTCGTTGTGAATCCTTGTAACTCGTGGCCTCCCCGGCTTCCTAATCATGTGCACATTAGGATGGAGAATAGGACCATTATGTTTCTTCCAACCCTTAGGTTCACCAAGAGGTGCGAAACTTGTCCCATAACAAGCCATCACTGTTTCCAGCTTGTAGACATTGTTGACAAACCTATACGCATTAGCCCCCATTCGGTTGCAAGCTGCAATGGCATGAGAGCAAGGAATTTTATTTCCTTGAAATTTACCACAAGTGCAAAATCCTGCCCGGTTTTGATCGTCAAAGTGAATTGTGAGTGTGTTTGACCCTGTCATGTTGAAATTGTTGGGAGGAGTCTGAACTACATAGATGCCTTGACCTCGATCAAGAGCTGTCACAGAATGTCCAATTGCCTTTTGTGACCTGTACTTCATCAGCTCTTCGCACTTGGTGGAGTACTGTGAACCGCCACTTCTAATTTCTGCTCCTGTCTCCAACCTATACTTATCGAATTTCTCCACCAATCGCCAATAGGTATGCTGCACAAGAGAAGGTATCGAAAGTGCACGAATACCTTTGAAAATACCATTGACGCTTTCTGCCATGTTGGATGTCAGGATAGACCAACGACCCCCACCATTGTAGTTATCATGTGCTAAACTCCAACGAATCTGATGTTGATCCACCCAGTTATCACATGAAATATTTCTATCAGCGGCCACCTTCTTAAATTGTTCAACTTGACGATCAAACTTCTCCAACCGTTTTTCTCCGGCTAACAAAATAAACCACAACACGTGTTAGATAAATTCATGACAAAATTACATGAAAACAAATAACAAAATTAAATGAAGAAAGCTTACCGACTCGAAATAGTTGATTATACATAATTTTGCTTCATAGAGTCCTGCATGTCTATCTGAGATGATGCATACATCATTTCGATCAGTCAAACCCTGAACCTTCCTCATGAACCATGGCCAACTCTCAGTATTCTCGCTCTCAACTATGGCAAATGCAATTGGAAAAATCTTCATCCGGCCATCAAATGAGCTCGCCATGAGTAGCACTCCTTTATACTTCCCAGTAAGAAATGTTCCATCCACAACCATGACGCCTGGACAATTCTTGAATCCATCTATACAAGGTCCATAAGCCCAGAATACTCGCTGAAATATTAAATGACCGGGTTGAGTCGAAGGAACTGTTACCCAATCAATCACCGATGTTGGCATTTTTCTCTTGACCACCCGCAAGAATGTTTGCAAAAAATCGTAGGATTCTTCCCAATTTCCATGCAACTTTTCCAATGCTCTTTGTTTCCCATACCAAGCCTTCTTGTAAGTAACTTGCATATTAAACTTATCTTTCAACTCGGCTTGAACAGTTAGAACACTCAGATTTGGTTGGGCACGTACCAAATGTTTGACGGCCTCAGATATCATGTCGACATCAAGATGGTGATGATCCGTCGGTTGAGTCGTACTGCTACAAGAATGCACCAACTCAGCTTTTCTCACAGTCCATTCGCCCCCAACATCTCGACATCCAAACCGCACCATCCAAGGACAATTTTCATCCTTGTGCCTCAAGCATCTGACCTTCCAGATTGAAGGTGACGACTCCACCACGCCATATTGAAAGTTGCGTTGTAGTGCGTGGTGTTTAATCGCCATCTGTGCAGCTTGTTTCGAGTGAAATATCTGCCCCTTGTAGAATTCTCCTTCAAAACTATCAACAATAGGCATTGGAATTACGCCATATGAATCAGCAAGTGCAAATTCTTCGTCCTCTTCAT